ATCTCAGCAAAGACTTGACGGGCAATCGTGAGAGTATCTCCTCTATGATATATTGAGAAAGGTTCGGCCTTGTCATTTTTTTGCTATTCGGTCGATTTGGTTTCTTCTTCTGTTACTCTAAAAGCCAAAGGCAGGGTTAAGCAGACCTTGGGACAGTTCGATTTTGTAGAAGTAAAACTGAGGGTAAAAACTTATTTTACTAATCTTCAATTAACTTTAGGATGCCTATACATATCAGTTCTAATAGGGTAATACTATTTTTTTTAATTACGAGTAAAATATGTATGTGATTTTTTTTCCTATTTATCATATAAATTATAAGATTTATATTTAATGTATTTTCGGTGTGTATGTTTTATATTTTATTAATAATGCAAATGTTATCATATGTTAATAAAAAGTTGGGAATTTTTCAAAAAAAAAATTCTTATAATTTTAAAAAATATATTTCTTTTAAAAGATTTTTAAAATTTTATTTTTATAAATTTTCAAGGTAACACTATTACTTTTTTTAAAGACATAAATATTATATTATATTTAATATCCGTACAAATACAAAAGATGACCAGCTAATTTGCGGTCAGCATGACCAACCTTTCCACCACCCAATGTTCTCGACTCCCCTCTGCACTATATTGCATACTTATAGTTTATCAAATATGAATCTTAAATTATAATACCGGTTTTCAAATTTATAGGAGCTAGATTATTTAAACAATAAAATACATATTGTATACATGAGTTATAACAAAAGGGATACTAACTTTATGAAAAGATTAATCAAATAAAGCAAATCCATAGGATCAAAGATATTTTTATAATTTTATTGTATAAAATTGATGGTCTAACCCCTTGTGAGATATGAAATTATCCACATAATGATAATTGGAAAAAAAAATCCATATGGTGCTAATTAAGAAAAAATTTTACACGGACAAGAAATTATATATTGACATCTTAAGGGTGTTAGGAAAACCCTAATTTCCTAGATTTTCATTTATTTATTTTTATATAGTTCTCATAAGTTTATAAAAAAAAATTCAATTAGTAACACTAAAAAATTATGAAGATCTCATTTATTGGCAACTATTTGTCACCTTTTTGAAATGTTTTTAAGTATGAATAATATATGTATTCATTTATTAAAAATGGATATTCAACCTAAAACATATTGGTGATACCCCTTTAAGGGGAGAAGCTTCTTCAATTGGTCATCATGATATCAAAACAGACACTGCTCCCATTAATGAGTCTCAGCATATAAAAAAGTTTGTTAAGCATGGATCATCATCAATAAGAAAAGAAAGAGCGTGTCCACTCTAGTTCTAGAAAATTCACTAGATCTACCAACAAAATTAAGAACAGAGGCATTCAAAACAATTCTAGGTGCTTAATGTGTCCCATCAAGTTCAATCTTTAGAACCCAGGATCGAGTGGAATTGCCTCTTTAGGATGGAAAAACGAAATCCAATAAATGAAGGGGTGATGTGAAAACATATAGATAGAAAAGATTATCTTCGTCCTAGGGATCTAAGGACAAATACCTCATGACATGTTCTTCCTTTTTCTGTTCCTGCCTAGCTTTTGCTTTTCATCTTCAACAAGGATATGGAAATTCGGCGAAAGTAGACTCTGTGCACACACGATGGCATGGCATTGATGTTGATGCCTTCTATGATAGTCGCCAACGGCTCCAGCATCACATTTGCAGATCCTATATTTCTCAGCTATTGCTTCTTCTGCACCAGACCTTATCAATTCCTTTTTCTCATTGATTGATATAACTTCATTGCCTTTTGAAATGCATAGAGGCATAAGCGTAGATTTCTCTTCAGAAGTAAGAAATTTAGTCCAAGATTCCCTGACACCATAATCCTTCATTACCCATATCTCAACAGGGGAGGAGGAGAGAGGTTGATTAAGATAAAAGTTATGACTATAAAATGTTAAGCAAAGTCTTCCATCAAGAACCCCGAGTTTCAAGTAATTGAAGGAATTTTGTGGCTTATCAGCAATTGGCACTATGCTAAATCTCTCCGTCTTTAAATCGAAAGCTTGGATTTCTACTGTCACTTCTTTCGCTATCAGCCAATGGAGAGCTCCATTGACAAAATACCCTGAAAAATTTAGGAAAAGGAGAGACGAGAAGTCGACAGAGGGTGATTGAATCATTCTCCATGAATTATTTCTCAGTGAGAAGATGGAAACTGTCACCTCTGCGTAAAAATCATCTGAGACTGAACGCCATGTCTGAACACACAAAAGCACTTTGTAATCATCAGTAGATGAGTCATAACCAAAACCATGACAATAAAGAGTGCCACTTGAGGGAAAACAAGGATCTGGCAACATCTTGTAGTCCCCGGTCGATGGGTTCCACAAAAAGACCTTGTCCTTCTCTAGAGCCATGGCTACCAATCCGTGGCATGATCCCATAATCCTGACTCGACGGTCCTGTCTTTTTGGTGGAAAATCAAGGGGGACTTCGCAAAAAGATGTTTCGTAATCTACCAAGTTGAGGCGACAAGGTGTCGATGTAATAAGAACACTCGTTTCCGATGCTCGTTCCAACTGCATTCTGGCGAATGAAGGACTGGAGATCAAAGCGTACCATGACCTGGAAACGCACTTGAATCTCAGCAAAGACTTGACGGGCAATCGTGAGAGTATCTCCTCTATGATATCTTGAGAAAGCTCTGGCCTCGGCATGTTGTTTTGCTTTTGCTCCATCTGGTTTCCTCGTCCTGCCATTCCAAAGCCCAAGGCAAGGGTAAATAGACCTTCAGACTGTTCTTTTCATTCATGAATAATCAATGATTCAAGCACAACTGCACAAGTTTTCAACCTCTCGGGGAAGCTCAATTTCAGTAGAACTAAAACTGAGGGCAAAACCTTGTTTTACTAATCTTTAATTAACTTTAGGATGTCAATATCCGCTATTTTTCTTAATAGGATAATACTTTTTTTTATTATCATGAATGAAATGTTTTCGGCATTAAAGATATGTGATTATTTTTCATATGATTTATATTTATTATTTAATGTATTTTCAGGGTATAAATTTTATATATTATTAAAAAACCCAATGTTATCTATTGTTAATTGTTAATGAATGAATTTTTAATCGTTAATAAATAAATATTTTTAAAAAAATTTATTTTGAAAGATTTTGAAATATTTATTTTTTCAAATTTATGAGATTGACACTACGTAATGATAATTTATCAAATATAAATCATAAAGTATAATGCTAGATAATTTAAACAATAAAATACATATTGTATAACTAATGGACACTAGATGTAAAATTATGAAAGAAACTATAGATATTATGATTTTAATCCTACATATATAGGAGTATTTGGAAGTGCAGGACTTCGCTTGAGCACAACCCAGTTTCCCTTCAGAAAAGTTATGAATGCAATCCTCTTGGACTGCTTTTCAAGGAAATTACAGCAGCTGTAGTAATTTCTGACATAAATCATGATGAAGGTTTTTTTCCTGAAAATGCATTGGTTCAAACAAAATTAAAGGAAGTTTGAACAAATTGATCTGTTTCAGGGCACAGCACCTTTCAAGAAACATATATATATATATATATTCTTGTTCTTCGTCCGAATTACTTTGTCCCTCTTTTGCTGTTCATTCGCCGGAAGGTTAATAGAAATGAGGTGAAACTAGACTCTCCATGTATCCATGTACGCAACAGCTTCACACTGTTCCGGATTTTTCCTAGTACTAAATTTTTTGAGCTTCGCTTCTTCATCACCACCATCATCATCCCTGATTATAAGTAGAACTGCTCATCTTTCTGAAAGGCGAAAGGCCTGAAAGGAACAAAGGTAGTTACTTTCAGTGCTAAGCAATCTAGCTAGTCCAGGGCCCCTTACTACCAATGTCCTCCATTACCCACCACGAGTGAGAAGGAAACAAACTAGTAATAGAAAAAGTTAGGCAAAACCTCCAGTTAAAAATGTTGCCACGCCAATGCAGTGGTGACGATTCATCGAAATTCTCTCCCGTTGAATCAATATAAAGGATGTCATGAAATTCTCTGTTGAATGACATGGACCAAAGGAGAGTTCCATTGACAAAAGAAATTCTTGGTGGCGTTAAGGGCTACAGCTACCAAACCATTGCAGGAACCTAGAAGTCTGACAGGTTCCTGAGCTGCTTTCGGCGGAAGATCGAGATGTTTCAGATTCTCTTAAGAAATTGAGGTCATCATCCGTTGACAAAAGAATGTTTTGAATTCTGATCTCGGGGTCCTCCAATGCTTGTTGGAGGTGCCGTTTGGCGACCTGGGAGCCGCAGATCAAAGAACCCCATGACTTTGACAGCGACCTGAATCTCTTCAAGGATTTCACAAGCAGCCATAAGAATATCTCTTCTATAATATCTTGATGCAAATCCGCCGTTGCCATTGTCTAATGAAGGTTGGATGGGTTTCTTTCTTTGCCAACTATTGCATGCCAAAGGCTGCGGTAGTTTTGTTTCATGGGATTAAGAAGGGCTTAAGATAGGAAGGCATATATACTCATGTTTTCTTAGAATACATACACACTTACAAATAAAATTATATTATAACTATTACCTAGATATTGTAATCTAATTAGATATTAATATTGTATTATAACTTTAACTAAATAATTTTTATAATTATTTTAAAATAATAAGCGAAGAATAATTCAAATACTGACCTCGTATATTTTATTTTTGAGGGTTTCAATTTTTATATTTATTTTCAAGGATCGTTACATTTAATTCACAACTGATAGAATATATACTAACAGTACATCTAGTATAAAGTCCAAACATAAAGTCATTTAAAGAAGGGACAGAAAATGAGTGTCAAAATTACTACCCTTGTAATTATAATGCAAGGTTATAGCATCAATTTTATGGCAATGAAGTATCAGACTTGAGATTCTCATATCAAAGCAAATGACCTTGTTTTATTTCTTAACAGTTTGTGCTCTTGTAATCCCTGTGTCTACCTGCTCAATCCCATGACTGAAGGGATCATAAAATAAATGATGCAGGTTACAGCATTTGGAAACTCATTCAAAGAGAGAATCAATCAAGGAAAAGATGAAAGAAAGAAGGGACAAGTAAATGATTTGGGAAATCATTGATCTCTCTCTCTCTTTTTCTTTTTTTTTTTTTCTCTAACAATCAATCAGTACTAGAATTAAGGTACTGAATATCCTATTTCAAAACTCTTAAAACTTCAGAAGTTGATCTTCAATGTTTTACACTCAATTACACCTCAATTATGCACAAATTAGCAATTATTATATGCAGCAATCAATGGCATTCCAATGGGTGGCAACGAGGTTCCAGGTTTATAAATTCTTTTTTGTGGTTAGCAACTCAACAGCAAAAGGATTTTGAAAGGTGAGAGCAAGAGAAAAAAAGACAATGGAAACAATTTCCATGAAGAAGAGACTTGTGATAACCAAGGTAGTCTCTATTATGCTTCTGCTAGCTGCAGTTCAAGCCCAAGAATTATTTCCTTCTGATTATCCCTCTTCTGAAGAGACCTCTCTGCTTTCAGAATCTGAATTTCCTCAAGATTCTGAAGACACCAATTTGCGCCTCCAGACCCAACAGGTGCCCCTGAAAACACAGTCATTTTCTGAAGAAACCTCTCTGCCTTCAGACTCTGAATTTCCCCAAGATTCTGAAGGCACCAGTTTGCCCCTTGAGACCCAACAGTTGCCCATTGAAACACAGTCATTTTCTGGAGAAACCTCTCTGCCTCCAGAATTCGTGTTTCCTCAAGATTCTGAAGACAACAGTTTGCCCCTCGAGACCCAACAGTTGCCCATCGAAACTGATTCACATTCTGAAATCCGTCCGCCTCCTCAATCTCCTGCACCTTTGCCTTCAGAAACACCGTCACCTCCAGAAACCCCATTGCCTACACAAGCTCCAATTTCTCCAAAACGTCCATGGACTCCAGAAAACACTTGTAAAACAAAGTGTGCTACAGCGTGCATGAGCAAGAAAGTTCCTATACTTCATAACTTATGCAACAAAGTCTGCAGGAAAAGATGCATACTCCTTTACTCGCAGCTGATCTACAATTGTACTAATCATTGTGCAGAGTCCATGCCCAAAAATTTCAAATCAGGTACTAAAACTACCTAAATTAACTTCCATTCACCCTTGTGATTCTTCTTTTTGGAATCCAATGCCGTATTCATTGATTTCTGATAAAAAAGACTCTTCTTGATATTCCTGTTCTTGCAGATAAGAAGAAAGTGGCAGGCTATGCAAAGTATTGCTACCAGAAGTGTATCAACAAATTCTAGGCTGCTGTAGCTTGCTCTTTCAAATTACATATTATGTCTGAGATTTGTATCACAATAAAAGAACCGTGAGATTGATCTTCTCATTGGTTTTTTGACTATTGCTACCAATCAATAAAATATCTATAAGATTAATGTTCATCCTCCATTTCGACATCTGAGTCCATCAGCCAGGACTTGATGGATATCTTGGTATTATTTTTATCCTTTATCTATAGCAGTTTTGATTTCCTTTACTTGAAAATTAGGTGGGAAGATAGGAAATATAATAAGAAAAAAAATATGTATTCCATCTGTCTCTTGGCCTGGCATGATCTGCGACCAAATGTTGCCCCTCTCTCTTCCTTTAGTTTCCTATAATCAATAGAAGGACAAATTGTAGTCCTTGCAGTTTAGACAACTTTCCAAGTTCATAAACTTCCTCATTTCCTGTCTTAAACGATTTTGATGAGTTTGGACAAAACAAGAAGCAACTGAAACTAGAGTTCTGTTGAGATTTGTGTTATAATAAAAGATCAACAACATTGATCTTAATTGACGTTAACAAGATTCATAACTTTTCTGTTGTCGACAGCATTCTCTTTTTATCTTACTCATTATTTCTACTTAGAGCCTTCAATGAACAAAATGGCTACAAGCAACTTAAAAATTCATTACAAGCAATGTAGAAGTTGGTGCCGTGCTGCTTTCTTTTACTCCCTCCTCTCACTCCATCTTCCAATTTGCTTCTGATGCCAAGCAAATGCTTTTGGTCATGTGATAAGTCTCATCCTTAAGGAGAACCTTGTGTTGCATCCAACAGTACCCGAGTCTGCCGATGGAAAAACAGATTCATGCCAGTTTAGGCCAATCAAAGATTGGAAACAGAAATGACAGTTGTTGAATGTTCAACATTCAGTTTCAGTTGCTGAGAAGAAAATCGAAGTGACACTGCTCTGAACCTCAAGCAATGTGAAGGATTTATACAAATCAACTAAGTATGCAACAAGAAAAGAAACTCTATGATCAAGTTATAAGAACTCATAACAAGAGAAAAATTAGAGAATATGCTTCAGCTGGTGTAAATGGTAGGCTGCAGCAGTACATGAATGAAATAGTTCTTTACATGCTAATAAATCTTTAGACCCAAGGGGCAGAGTATAATTGCTTCTCTAATTTAAGAAATTAATTAAGAATTGTAAAAGAAACAGAAAGAATAAGCAAAGAATGGAACTTGGATAATGAAGTTGGGACAGCAACCCACAACACTAGCATTGTATGAAGTTGTATTACCTTGGATTGTTCCTTCAAGCTTCTACTTCCACCTAAACTAAACTTTTCAACAACTTGAAAAGAAGCTGTGCAAATTGAGTTTCTTAGTCACTGTCACTTTAAAAACCAAAAAAATAAGAATTATTTGACTTTCCCTTTAATTAAAAAAAACTGGAAAAAGAATTGAATTGAGTTAAATGGAGTAGAATGAGAAAAAGAAATTAATCTTATAGGTTTTCACATGTGATGTGAAATAAAGGGAAGGGCCTACACATGCCATAGCGAATTTAACATTTATCCTTTAAGAGGGGTTGGGGCTGAGTTAACACGATAAAAAATGTCCAAGTTGACTCAGAATTTCCCAAGAAAGAGAACGGCTCACTTGCAGCCGCTCTCCTCATTTCTTCTCTTACTTTTCATTTCCTCTGTTTTTTTGAATCTTTTTTGTGTTTAGGTACGCCATGTTTCCATCAAAATTGTTTCTTGAGAAAGAGCAAAAGTGTTTACAGAACAATTGAAGTCATGAAAAAAGAAAGAATAATTCAGCAGCTACCGACAGCAGCTGAAGAAGAAGCTGAAATTCCGATTCTTCCCCAAGAAATCATAGTGGAAATCCTTTCAAGATTACCCATCAAATCCCTTTGCCAATTCAGGTGCGTTTCCAAACTTTGGCTTTCTCTTATATCAGATCCCCTGTTAGCCAAAGCACACCTCAAACAAACCATTAAAAATGATTACTTTTATTCTCAGAGGAAACGAGTAATCATTTCCTCACATAATTTGTACTCTCTTGAATATGAATCAATTGGTAAAGATGCTAGCTTTGATGGAAATTTGGTAGCTTTAGAGCTTGATTATCCTTTGAAAGACAACCCAAATGGAGTGGCTGAGCTATTAGATTCTGCTAAAGATGGTTTTTTGTATTGTGAAAGAAGTGAGGATGATGAATTTCCTGTAATGGTAAAGCTAAACTTGCCATGTTGTGTGAACCCAAGGAATTGGGTTGATATCTTGGGTTCTTGTAATGGGTTGGTTTGTATTGCCCCAGATGAAGATACTCTTTTCTTGTTTAATCCTTCCATGAGAGAATCCAAAAGAATCCCAGACCCGCCTTCCGAGTATGCTCCTAATGGTTTAAGTGTTTATGGGTTTGGTTTTGATTTTGTTAACGATGATTATAAGGTGGTGAAACTAGGTTGTGGAACTGTTTGTGTTTATTCATTAAGAACTGATTCTTGGAGAAAGGTTGTGAGTTTCCCATTTGATGATAATGTGTATGAATCTGGAGTGCTTCTCAATGGGGCTATTCACTGGATGGCCAGTCGTGGGGATGGGGCGGATTATGAGTGTGTGGTTGCTGCCTTTAGTTTAGAAGAAGAGGTATTTTTAGATATGCCTGCACCTGACGCTGTCGATACTAGCTTTGAATTTGTGGTAGGGGTTCTTAATGGATGCCTCTGTGTGCTTCATAGCCGCAATCAGATGCACAATGATTTTTGGGTGATGACCAAGTATGGCATAGGCGAATCATGGACTAAATTGACCCTCAGTATCTCATACATATGCATGAAGCCCTTGTGTTTGGCACAGAATGGAGAAGCCCTGCTGGAGGTTGATGGGAAACTGTTGCTGTACAACTTGGAAGATGACAGTTATAGGTACATAGAAGTTCATGGCATTCCTGCTGGGGATGGTTTTGAAGCAGATACCTACTTGGAGAGCCTCATTTCACCCAATGGCTACTGTAGGAGTGGAATGCAGATGCAATATTGAGTACCAATGAAATTTAGGAGCCTGGGGATGGTGGAAAGGCTAAAGATGATAAGCTAATAGCATCTGTTCCTATTATTTTCTCTACTTTTACTTATTTGTGAGCTCTGCTTCCTAGAATACATGTTTCTTACTCTTGTGCTTAATGTATCTCTTTCGATACATATGTTGTGGCAATGTTGAGTGCAGACGGTTGACACATGAGGCCGAAAATGAACAGTTCAGTTTTCACGTTTTTCTTTTTTGGACAGGAACGTTGAGGATCTGAGTGCCAAACCTTCCTGTTCTCGGTCATGAACCTATAAGTCGTAATGTAGCCTTCCAGTCTCCTTTTTATTATCATTTTATGCTAGTTTATCTGATACTTGTTTTTATTGATCCTTTAGTTAGAACCTATTTCCTTCTTTGGCAGGCATTTAGAGAGATGAGTAAATACCGTTTGCCTTGTGTTTGGCAAAGTTTGAGTGATCTCACAATTTCAGTGCATTACTTAGTTTTCAAAGAGCTTTCCCTCAATATTTCCTGAGATACTGAAAAATCCCTGATTTGCTGAGATTTAAGTTTCTATGGGGATTGGGCAGAAGAGAACAAAATCCCTTATAAAAGGCAACAAAGCCAATTCTGATGCTTTGTCAGTCCTCATGCTGCTCTCATATCGAGCCTACACTTGAAAACAATATTGATTCCATTTCTGGTCAATCTCAAATGCTAAAAAGACATTCGATATGTAACCAGGCTCTGAACTTCAACCCTTCAATAAACCATGTGAAGGATTTATTACATACATAGACAATTTGTTCGACTAACTCAGTAATCTTTAACTTTTCCATCTTCACAAACATATGGAAACATATATAAGCTGGCTTTTGGTCCATTTTGTTGCTGATTTTTAACTGCTGTTCCATTAGATCAATCACAAGTAATCAGACCTTTCCAGTTATTCCCGGAACTGTACATTCTAACAAGTAACTAGGCCAAACCACGTTTTGATTATAAAATCCTCAATGCATAATAACAACAATTACATAATAACAGCAATTAGAGGCTGATGGTAAATCTTTAAGGTATAAGAGAATGCAACAATAGGAGTTAAGCAATGTTCAAAAATGATAATCTATTTCACAATTTTAACATTTATACGGATTCTTCTGCCTTGCCTGACAGGCTAATTACTGAGATTTGGTGAAATTAGACTCTCCGTATATGCAATTGCTTCATGTCGATGGGGATGAAAACGAGCATTCCAGTCCTTACACCGACTTGGATCATTGCAGAACATGGTCTTTTCGACTTGTAGTCCAAAGCCGTTAGCATCATACGTCCTAATTTCTTCTTGTGGAGCACCTAGTAGTATGAAACCTTTGCGTTTTAAAAGGTATAAAAAGGAGTTCCAGAAACAAAACCATCGATTATACTTGGGCATTCTATGTATCTTCGTCCAAGATTCCTTAACGCCAGGTTTCTTCCTGACCCAGAACTCAATACCACCACGAAGGTCATTTGTAATCGGTTTCCTGCAAGCAACGCAAAGTCTTTCCCCGACTCCAAATAAGCTGCCTGTGTGGAAGTAGTACGCATCGTCGTTGACAAGATCAGGTTGTGGCATTTCATAGAATCTCTCCCTCTTTAAATCAAACCCGAAGATTCTCTCCTCGCCGTAATTCTTCCAATAGAGAGCTCCATTGCTATAAACCCCATTAGTAAAAAGACCAGTCCCGTTGCGTACTCGCTTGTTTCTCCACGAATTTTTTCTTAGTGAAAAGATCAGAAACTGTGAATTATCAGTTAGAATCACTTTGTAATCATCACAGGATGGGTCATAACCAAGACCCCCAAAACAATTCCCCATAGCTGGAACTGACAATACTTTATAATAATCTGGCAACGTCTTGGAGTCTCCGGTTGATGGGTTCCACAAAACCAGATGCCTGGGGTTGCCAATGCTTAAACATACCAACCCATGACACGAACCGAAGAATCGGACATGATTATTGATATCAGGTGTTCTGTTTTGTGGAAAACGAAAGCTTACGGGAACAGGGAGGCGCGGTGGTTCGCAATCTATGAACCTGAATCCATCAGGTTTTGATATAAGAATCTTTAGATCAGTGATTTCAGGATCCGGTAACGATGCTCGTAGGTAGTGGTTTCTGGTGAATGGAGGGCTAGAGATGAAACGGCTCCATGACTTGGAGACGCTCTTGAATCTCACCAGAGACTTGACAGGCAAGCGCGAGAGTATCTCATCTAGAATATCATCAGGAACGTCAATAGGCCTCGCCATGTTTTCTTGCTTTCTTCTTCGGATACTGTTCTTCTCAGGGAGCGGCTGCAGGAAGTTAGGTTAGAAGAGTTCTTTCAATATTAGTTCTTTTTATAACTTTTTAAGCAAACCATAGAACAGATTAACCAATTAACCTTCCACCCCTAAACTTCTATTTATGATCTGAGAAGAAGAAACACAGTTGTATTAGGAGAGACAAATGCAAACACAGCAGCAACAAATAATTCTCTCTCCTAATACGACTGTGTTTCTTTTCATTCTTATTTTGTATTCAAATTGATCATTAAGAAACATGACTGCTATATATTTGATCATTAACAGATAATTTTCCTTGCATACTATAACAAAGAAAACTAATCGTGCAAGCCCAACGTTAAGTTCACTGATTACGGTTTTCTTCCTTCCTGTAATGAACCTGCAACAGCTTTCCTTTGATCAACCAGCAGCAGAATATTCAACCAGAAAACAAGAAAGACCACTCAAACATTTAAGGGAAAGTTAGAGCAGTTTCAACTCATTGTTGAAACTGTGGTAAACCTTGTTCAACCAGCAGCATAGCACTCCAACTCTCTGTTACCGTGCCTTACTGCTCCCTTGCTTCCCCTAACCTTTTCTCTGCGGCATGTTGAATTCATTTGCTCTTCATCACCATTGTGGGTTTTTTCATTTCCTTCAGCTTGTGATGATTCACGACCCTGCAACTGGAAAAGACTCAAGATCATACTGTTGTGATTTGGAAGAAGTCGGGATAAGGGTCACTGTTACAGGCAAGGAAAAACAGGGATGAACAAAAATGCTTGGCAAGGAACTAAAGTTCATCCAATTCATTACTAGTTGCTAAAGATATTTAAGTACAACAGATTCATACGTGAATAATAGCCTACAACACTTGGTCAGAAGCATAAGACAAGTGTTAAAATGCATTAAGAACTAAGCATGCATGACAACACGTAAATACGTAAGCTGAGAGGGGTAATAGCTGTTAAGGATTTAAGTTGAATTTGGACAAGTGTTAAAGTGCTACTGCAGGTGGCATGCAAGTATTAGCTTCAACACATACACCCTGTTACGCCAAGGTGCATCAGCAGCAGGAGAACAAAAATTCCATGGCGTAATAGTAGTAGAACTTCTCTCCTCACCATTCGAACCGTCGATGATACACTCTTACCAGCACTCCGACTCTCATGACTAAGCAAGTTTTGTATTTTCCTAGTTCCACTAAACAAATCAATTGCTTTCTCACTTTCTTTCAACATCCACTCTCATGTCACCAAATTCTAGATTCATAGCCCCCCCTAAAGAATATCCTTAAACTTCACTCCCCCTGATGAACCTTTCCCCCACCCACTTACTTTCTCCCCTGTTCTTCTCCCTATCCTCCTTCGTTCCTCTAAAAGTTCTAAACTATTACCCTTCCCTAAACCAAAGCAAAAAATGTATAGAGTTCTTAATCCCACCCCTCCCAAAATTCCCCATGACAAATCAAATCCTCCAATAAATAATTTCCTTATTTTATTATTATTATCCTGAAATTATACATCATTCCACTTATCAATTTAATCCGAAACTCCATCATTTTTCTTTTGTTATATTAGGTTCTGACTGCACACACCTTCGGGTCCCAGCCTGATGAGTGTGCAGTGACACATGTTCCTCGTGCACCCATTAGTGCTATGGATGATCTTGTTTATATTTGGGGAGAACCTTATCTACTAACAAGGCCTTTTTTCAGAGCACAGGCTCAAGTTTTGGGTTCTTGCACATTTAATGTCAACAATGAATTTGGTTCTTTCTTGGATTGTATTGTTCAGTTCACAGGGATTGTATTCTTTCTTGGATTTTATTTTTCCCAACCTTATCTTTTAAAGTGCTCTTGTGAATCTCATAATATGTTTATTTGATGAATTTTGCCCTTTTATTTTTTTTGGAATTGGAAGATTCTGTGGGTTAAAAACTCGATATCATATGCATTGACTATTCCACTTTGTTGGTATTTTACTTCTTCTTTTTTAGATAGCCCATGGTCTACATTGAAGTTGGACACATTGTTGTCATGCCAGGCTACTGGGGCTGGAAAACAGAACAAAGAGCAGAAAATTGCAGTAAAACAAAATAGCAAGAGTACATGCAGGAAGGAAAGATCAACAGAAAAAAGAAAGCCTACAAACCTACTTTGGTGATGAAAAACCCTACAAACTCGACATGTAATACTAAGAAAACTAGATAGTCTTTCTGGCTTTGAAATGTTGCACCAACTCATTAATTCAGTAGAAGAAAAAACTATGACACTTCCACCTTTGAGGAAGTAAAACGTAGCAGGCATATACTTAAGCAAATTATTGATGGCATGATCATGTTGGTACTGTAAGTCATTTTTGACTTAAAAACCAGTTCTAGTTCATCTACTCGGTTATTTTATTCTTGTTCCGTGCCTGATAGGCTAATGAGCGAGATGAGGTAAAATCAGACTCTCCGTATATGCAATTTCTTCACGTCGATGCGGATGACCACGAACCTTCCAGTCTCTACACCAACTTGCAATTGGATCAGTGCAAATCACAGTATTTTCGATTTGTCTGCCGATACCGTTAGCATTATGCGTTATAATTTCTTGCTGTAGACCACCTAGTATTATGAAATCATTGTTTTCTGAAAGGCATTTGAAGGAGTTCCAGATACGAGGCCATTCATCAAACTCGGGTGTATTACGTATCCTTGTCCAAGATTCCTTGACGCCGTATTTCTTCATCATCCAGAACTCAGAACCACCAACGCCAAGTCTTTCTCCACCGACTTCAAATAAAGTGCCTCTTTGGAAGTGGAGCGCATCGTTATCGACAAGGTCAGGTCCTGGCACTAGATAGAATGTCTCTGTCTCTAAATCAAAACCAAAGATTCTACCATCGCCGTAATTCTTCCAATGGAGAGCTCCATTGCTGTAAATCCCATTAGTATAGACACAAGGCCCGTAACTTAATTGCATCCTTCTCCACGAATTTTTTCTCAGTGAAAAGATCGCAAACAGTGAATTATTACTTAGAAACACTTTGTAATCATCAGGGGATGGGTCATAACCAAGACCACCAATACAATTCCACATGGCTGGAACTGGTATAACATCATAGTAATCTGGCAAAGTCTTGGAGTCTCCGGTTGATGGGTTCCACAAAACCAGATGCCTGG